AGAAATTGAGAAGGGTTCGCAACATGACCATCCCCCACGGGGTGGGGGTACTTTCTCCCTCTCCCTCTCTCTCTGTCTCTCTCTGGTACATGTACATGATGTTTTCTGATAATTAAAAAAAATTTTTTTTTGGAGAGGTTTTTGCTATAGGGCGCATGCGTTTGCCAGAAAGACAGAAAGAGACAGATAGATAGAAAGTGAGGAAGCACCCCACAGGGGGATGGCCACGCCGCAATCCCTTCTCCTCCATTCTCCCCTCGGGATGTTAGACACACACACACACATGCGTCCCACGTGAGTTTAAGCCACTAGGTCCGGGACTCGAACTGTGGTTGACTACATGGGAGTTCAGTGACATAATCATTACGCTAACTGCAGGCCCCAATAAATTTTTTTTTTTTTAATTAAAGGGTAGATCCGTCCCTCAAGGAATGTACAGTGAAGTAGAGTGGGGAGGGCAAACGAGACCTTGTAGTTATCTTTGTATTCTTCATAGCACGGTCTTCATTGCTCTGCATACTGGAGGCATTAATTATTTTAGTATAAATGAATTACCAGTATATTCTTTTTTTTATTGAGAGGTTTTTGCTCTAGGGCACTTGCACGCACCAGAAAGACAGAGAAACAGAGAGACAGAAAACGAGAAGTCACTCCCCAAGGGGAAATGGCCATGCCGCAATCCCTTCTCCTCCATTCTCCTCTCAGGATCTTGGGCACGCACGCACATGCGCCCGGCGTGAGTTTAAGCCACCAGGTCCAGGACTCGAACCGCGGTCAACTACATGGGAGTCCAGCAACATAGCCATTACGCCAACTGCTGGTCCCCCTAGTATATCCTTTTACTATATCCTTTTGCTGTCATGTTGTCCACTAGGGTGAAAATACCATACAAACCCATACCCTCTTTCTGAATTCTGAATTTTACCTCTCCGTAGATGACTTTTCATTTTATTTTAATTTTGCCATAAGGCACATGCATGGGCGAGTGAGAAATCACCCCCTAGGGGTATGGCCATGTCACAATCCCTTTTCTTCCATTCTTCTTTAGGGATTTTGGATACAAACACACACACACACACACACACACATAGCATGTTTTCCAAGCCACCAGGTCTGAGACGCAAACCGTGCAGTTAACCCTGTGGGATCCAGCTGCCTTAACCACCACACCACCAGCTTCCTCCATGATTACTTTTTGAATATCACTCTTGAGATCTTTAACGCTCTACATCCAGCCGTATCCCTGTATCCCAACCTCCACTGTGGAGGCTGCAGAACTGGCTCTTCCTGTGCCATTGTCACCCGCAGCGGGGTGTTCCCCTGAGCCTACCTCCTGATGTCAAGGGGACCTACTCATTCTTCTCCCTTCTGTTGTTGGTTTTATGGTCCTGTTGCCCCTTTCTTGTCTTGATTTTCAGCGACACCCACCCCGGCCCTGTGCCTAGCCTCCTGTAGAACACCTCTCCCATCCATCTTCCACGCCTAGGCCAGAATGGCCTTTCTAATATGCAAGTCTGATAATGATACTCCCCTACTCAGACCCTTCAGGGCTCCCCTATGGTCCCAAGCTGAAGTCTAGACCCCTTCACACCCATACAAAGCCCTTCCAGTTTGGTCGCCCAATTCCTTTCCAGCTGCTTCCTTAACTCTTTCTTTCTCTCTCTTTTTTTTTTTTTTTTTTTTTTTTTTACCCCCCCTTCCCTCCCCCACACCGCACGG